TTTGTACCTATCATATATGATACAATCATTCCCACCCAAAGTTATTTATTATATGAAGCCCTCTCGGATCATTCCTGCATAGAAACTATTCTTTGCACACCCAAATGTGCATAGCTCTTTGTCTGCACCTTCCAAGTTACACTTATCTTTTTTTAATCTTTATTATGGTAATTTATGAAGGTTACATTGACCCATTAGAGAAAAAGATAATCCTGATTCACCCCAAAGATCCTAGCACAATATAGTTTATATATATAATTTGCATATAGTCAGTATTCATTAAATATTATTAGAACAGTGATTGAATGAATGAATAAAGTACACATTTCTTTAGAGAGACTTTGACCCTCCTAGAAGTATGTTGAGTCTAGGATATTTCAGAAACTAGTAATTCAGGATTCTCAATATGCTTCTGTAAAGGCTTTTTGTTCTTTGCCAGTCTCATTGGCCAGAAGAGGTCTTCTGCCATGGCCTTTGGACTGAAAGTAATGAAAAATGTTAGAGCCTAGAAAGAATATATCATGGACATAATTCCAATTTTCAGCCTATTACATATCCATTTTCTCTATATAATAATGCCAAAATTATCTGATGTTAGTTTTTAAAACTATGCAATACAACTTTTCTTATCATTTGTATATCTCACTAATCAAAACAAAATCATTTCTGATAAAGACATAAATCCAGTTCCTGTAATTCGAACACATTTTTCATTGAAGTGAACTTACGAGAATCCCTGTGATAAGTCCGTTAGAGGGCACAGAATTCATCTACAAAGTCAAGAGTATGATAATGGGTACATTATCCTATGATTTCAGAGGGAAGTATCCCTATGAGTCTAACAGTAAGGGATCTATATACCTTGATGAAAGCAAAAAGATAAAAAGAAAAAAACACTGAGACTTTCCTCTGTAGAGGAAGTATTTCAATTTTAACAAATTTTTCTTTTTCGAGGCAGAGTCTTACTCTGTCACCCTGGCTGGAGTGCAGTGATGTGATCTCAGCTCACTGCAGCCTCTGCCTCCTAGGGACAAGCAATTCTCCTGCCTCCGCCTCCCAAGTAGCTGGGATTACACGCATGTGCCACCACTCCCAGCTAATTTGTGTATTTTTAGTAGAAATGAGATTTCATCATGTAGGCCAGGCTGGTCTTGAACTCCTGGCCTCAAGTAATCTGCCTGTCTCGACCTCCCAAAGTGCGTGAGCCACCTTGCCTGGCCTCAGTTTTAACAAATTTCTTTGGACCATTTTGAACAGGATATATAGAAGTGCATAAAATATACAATATAGATGAATTTCTAAACCACCATGATTTTGAATACTTTCACTGGAATCTTGTTGATGGAGTCCACTGGGCTACAAACTTCCTTTAAAACTTAAATTTTTTTCTTAGTAACCTAAAAGAGAAAAAGTAGTCTGGCTAGATTTTGATATGGCTAGAAAATGTAAGCTAATCCACTATTATGTTTGAAAATGGATACTTCCCTCTGAAAGCTTTATATCTTTTTTAAGGTGTTTCTCAAATAGTATCCTATGACAAATATTTGTACCAAAAAACTAGTTTTTCATATATGTATCAATGTTTTCTCTTATTATACTTTCCCTTTGTCCAAATTAATATTTATTAAAGCAAAAGTCTAAACAGAAAAGGTTTTCTTAAAATACAGTAAATATGTTTAACAAAACCCAAAGAACTATGTATAAGTGAGCTAGTTGCAGGCCATAACGTTAGGAGAGTGTGTGTATGTGTGTGTCTTAGAGTGGTACAAGTGAGTGGTTTTGTTATATGCAATAATTCAAAGAAATTCTTTGGAGTTATTTTTACTTTTCCCCCCTAAATGGGGTATACGTATTTAAGATTTCTAAGGTTCTTAGTTTTTCTAAGTCTCATTACACTTTAGTTAAACACAAACCATAGAACATATTTCAAGAGTAAATATATTTGGTGGTAATTTTATGCAAAAATATTTATATTTTTCAATAATGGTTGCAAATTATATTGGATATTAGAAAAAATAACTTCAATTAATAATCCACAATTGTCTTTCAATCCTGACAGAGCTCACTTTATGAATATTAAGAAGAAGAAATATTATGTAAAATAATAAAGTGTCACTAAATTATAAAACGTGTTATTAACTTCTGTTATGTTGCCCTGTGATAATATCTCAACTGATAAATAACAGGAATATGTTATAGAGTTTTATGTTGTCATATATTTATTTTTCCTGGGAGGATTTTCAGATGATGTCTTAGGTTGTTTTGTTATTTTCCTATAAAATAAATCAATAAAGCTAATGATAATACTACATGTTGGGTAAGCTAGTAAGGCAATTTGCCAGGGTTGTTGTTTGCTCTCTTTTTGTTTTTCATAAAAATTGTCCAGAATAAAATAAGAAACTAGCATGACTGTAAAACAAACCTCACAAATAAGGTAAAAATTATGCCAACTCAACATATTACATATTGAGCATAATTAACATGGTTCATTTTCCAGCAAAGTTTTTATTTGAGTTGGTGGCAATATTGTAAATTTCAAATTTGTAAGTAGCTTTATCTTGCAGCAGAAAATAAGTGACAGCTATAAAAATCAAAAAAGGAAAGATGATCATAGGAAAATAGTTTCAGAGATAGTAATTATAAAACTGTATCAACAAAAAATGATGACATAGGAAGTTAAAGTAAATAGCTCGCTGGGGAAATGGTATACCCATGATTCTAGATATACTAAAATTTGTGGCTAAAAGTTTGTTTAAGGTATTTTCAGTTTCAGATTATTCAAGTCATCCTGCAATTTAAAAAGAAAGGAAAAGAAAATCGGAAAAGAAAACCCTCTTTCATTGAGTGGGGTTTCTTGGGAGGACAGGTGTTCACTAAAGGTAAACAAAATCTTGCCAAAGTCAACCTTTCTTCATGTTACTTATCACCTTCAAATTTGCTTCTCTGATTGTCAGATTTCATGCAAACTTGTTCCCTCCAGGAATTCCCCAGATGCTGTGGAGCACAGATTAAGCATGGTCTCCAAAAGAGTTTTAGATTTTTTACTATATACTAAATACAGGTATGTCACAATAGTCTTCCAAAATAAGGATTTAAAGTATCTAAGCTATCTTATTAACATTAATGTGTAGCCAACATAGAAAAAAACTATTTACAAGTGCATCCATCTCTTCCTACATGCCCTCCTGCTTATCATGCTTATCACTATAGTCAGAATCGGAGGCCAAGATATTTCCACGCTGATGATTTAAAGCCCTTCTTATTAGCAATTGATATCTGAATGTGACACTCAAGTAATTCCCAAGGCTGTGCTGGGATGATTCACTACACATTAAACTTCATTCGACTTTAAATGACAATGAGATAAACAATGACCATTTTCCAATTACCTCCTTTTTAATATTCACATTCAGGATCAATGTTTATAGTCTTTTAGTTTTGAATGTTCAAGAAAAAACAACCACATGAAATGGATCAGCACCTCAGGTAATAAATAGTAGTACCCACAATCATGCATGGTAAAACACAGTGGTGATTTTGTGTGGAGCTTCAGTGGTGTGGTAGTGGCACTGACAGGGACTTGAAGTTTTCCTACAATATTTATTAATATTTTCTAAAAATGACATATCTAATAACATTACGCCTCATACATAACATCTGACACATTTAGAATATAAAAGGGGAAAGAATGACTAGATGTAAAGATAAAAACACTTATAAAGTGACCAAATATCCACACCAACTACCATGATTAGGCTAGATGTTAAAAATAAAAGTTGATCAAAATTACAGTAAGTGATTCATTTCTCTCTCATGTAAACTTTTCCAACTACCCCTGAAGCATGAAAGTCCAAGACTTGCTTCCCACTCATATATAAGATTGTGTATTTAGACTACTGGAATGGAACTGAAATTAACATTGCTTGCCCATATCAGTTCCAAGAAATATACAGTCAGAGTAAAAACAATGATATTTGAACCACTGAGAAGGACTTTAGGATAAAAGAGTTTTTCTGTGTCTTGTATAACAGAAAAATGGAAGATAGTGCACAGAAGCAGGATAAGCTAGAAAGAAGGTGAGGATATTCATAGTGAAACCAACTAAGAGTATTTATTGGAGGTGGTAGTACAGACTCCTAATTACAGAGTTAAAGCCTTCTGGGAAGATCCACAGGGTCGAGTAGACAGCTTGACAGGCCTGGGGAGTAGGGACCTGACCGTGGTCCTGAAAGAGAACAACTTACAGATGTTTCTGAACCATCTGCAAGCAACCACATAACACCCCATCTATTTTTTCCCTACTGTAGCTTAAACGAACTAAATGTCCAATAACATTCGTAAAGTAAAAACTTTATCTTATGATAAAATCAGTCTTTATTAATGTCCTTCTTCCTGAACAGTCTCTGCTTGAATATTAGGCTCATTTCAGGATTAAGAGATACGCTATTCTAGCTCAAAAGCAGGAATCAACATTCTGACGAACTCACAACATTTAAAATTCTACGGAAAGCGTACACTTGGCAATCCTGTATTTCTTAAACTCAGATAGGAAATCAAACCTATCCTAAAGGCATCACGGAATGAAGCTCCAAGAAAGAACACTCCAAACTCTGCATATAATCTAGGGAGCCTTGACACTCTAGAAAGGTAAGGTACACCAATATTCCCATTTTCACCTCAGAAAATTACCACCAATTTTCTAAAGACACACCAAAATGCAGGTCCCACAGTGAAAACGGGCATCGATCTTTCCACAGGCAGGCTATTTTCAGTCCTTACAAACCCAAGAAGTCAAGACAGCCAACTACTACACCAAAACAAAGTGTTAATACTACACCAAACAGTGAGGGGACAAATTTCTCCGCACAAAAGACACCTTGGCAAGAACAGAAGAAAATTCACTCTTCTGGTGCAAAAGGGAAGCTGGGAGCAAAAGTAACGTGTACGAGAAAAATCAGTCTCAGAAAATGCCATACCAGTAGTCCAAGTGTAAGACTTACGTGTTCCGTCAAAACGGGTGGCGATGGTGTCCAGGAAGGTGTTTTGCGGCGCCAGTAATCCCTTCATAACCGGCATTTTTCCAGCGTGGTGTGAAATTCTCCATCAAAGTTTGTCCAGAAGGATGGTTCCAGAGGAAAGTGCCAAGAAGGGAGAAGGGGAACCTGATGACGGCAGGGAAGGGGGACCCCGCGTGATGGTGGGGTCGAACTGGGAAGGTGGGAGGATGGAGGGAGAGAGGGAGAGGGTTCCAGCCGCCCCGGCAGTGGCAGGAGCAGCCCGGAGAGCGCTCCAGGAGCCCGCTCCACACCTCCAGGCTCAGCCCAGCGCAGGCTCCCTCTTCCGCCCCCTCCACCCCCTCCAGCCGCCGAACTCCCCCCCCACACACACACACCGTCCCTCCGCGGGCCACAGTGCCCGCCAGGCGTCGCCTCACAGTGTCTCGCTCCCCACCTCGCCCGCCCGGAAAGAGCCCGCCGTGGCCCGAGGCGCCGCGCCCTGACCTAAGTCTCCTGGGTCGTGGAGAGCAGCGCCAAGAGCTGGGAGAGGCGCTGAGCCTCCAGGTCTCCAAGGGGCGCCGGGAAAGAGAGCGAGCGCAACTCCCACCCCCCGGGAACCAGGGAACAAAGACCCCTTTGTTCCGGCTCCGTCCCACTCCCGGGGAGACTGGAGTTCCGTGGGTGTGGTATTGGAGAATGGGAGGAGACAGGTCGGGGCAGGTATCCGGCCTCTGCCTAGAACTTAGGAGGGGGGAAGCCCCCCCCCCCGTGGTGTCCAAGGGAGCAGAGGCATCCAGGAGCCCCACGGGGAGGTGGCCCCCTTCCGGAGCACCTGCCAGGGCGAGCGCACGCGACAGGCGCAGGGCAACCTGAGTTAGTTGTCAGGCCCCTCTCCGGTCACCAAGGTCTGTTAGTCCCGGAAACTGGCCCCGAGCTCCAAAAAGGGGTACTTCAGCCCTTCTCCCCAAATGCCGTTGGCCTCCCCAAGCCACCCCAAACTTTTAAAAAAATGGCCTTTTAAACGGGCAATGGATGGTTTCCCATTCTCCAGTAAAATGTGAATAAAGCATTTCTAGAAAAGTTTGCTATTTTTATTAATTTGCAAAATACCAACCAAGTAAAAGCAGTAAGGCTGCCTTCCAAAAATAGCTGCAAACACAAATCCCCTAGCCTGTCCCCTTTTCCGTAGCCCCCACTCCCCAAGACTGACACTTCCGAGAAGCCTGGCGGACTGCCAGGAAGTGAAGGCGTCTCGGAAAGCAAAAACAGTCTCCCCCAGTCCTCTCCCCTGGCCCCCGCGGGGACTCCCTCTCCGCCGACGCTGTTCGGGGGAAGTCGCCCAAGCCTGCGGCACAGCCCTGCGGGGAGTGCAAAGGGACACCCTGAGCCCGAACTTTACAGAAAACTCTGCAAGGGAGGGAGGCGTGGAAGGGAAGTTGAGAGCCTCAGGGTAGAAAAACAAACGTCAGCCCAGGTGCTAGTGCACCCGGAAGGAGAGGAGGGGAAAAGCCAACAGGTGTCAGAGCCGCGCCAGGGCAGCTCTGATCCCCGGGGACTCGGGCGTGGCGGGAGGAGGAAGCGCCCGCCCCCTTTACTGTAGGTAAGGGGGTTTCTCGTTTCGATTCTCCCGGCTGTTAGGGCTTGGGGGCGAGGGAACCCCGCGGGTTTTGTCACGTCTGCCGCAGGCTCTGCGAGGGAGGGGGTGGAGAGAGAGGCGGCATCCCCCTCTCCCCGCCCCCAGACCCCCTTTCTCGTGATGCACTTCCTGCGGCCGAGGATTCCCTTTGTGTTGAAATTCGAGAAGATCCGGCAGAGGCTCCAGGCTAGCTGGGCGGGGGCGCGCCGGGGCGGGGACGGGATTCCGGAGTGGGCGGCGCGGGGCGGCCATCCCCGAAGAGAAGCCGCCAAGGTGGGGTTCCTCGCCTAGCTGGACCCTGCTTCTGCCGCAGGTCCGTCCGCGTCCTCCCCTCAATCCTTGTGTCCCAAACCAGCTTCGCTTTTCGGAAACCGAGCTCACGCGGTGGAGTCCCCCACGCGGCGAGCGCATCGCAACTGCGGGTGGCTGTGTGGCTCCGTCTTGGGCGGAGCTGGGGAGAGAAAGATGAGGGAGACCCTGGTGTTTGGGTGGTGCATCGTGTCCCAGAAAATTCAGGCTGTTGCCGCCAATGTAAAACGGACATAAACACCACCCGGGAAGTGGCTCGAAGTTCAGCATGAAATTTATTAGTTGTAAGCCATGACTCGGCTTCATACAATTTGCACTGCAGGGTTGTGTGTGTAAAAACTGTTTCCTGATCTGGGTTGCCTAATGTATTAAATCACTGCAAGAAGCACGCCACAGAGGGGCTTAAAAATGGCAACCCAAAAGAAAGCCCCATTTTCATGGCAAAAGGAACCTGGTATTTATCATTCACTGTCTCCTCTCCAACACCTACTATGTGTAAGGAACTGCTAGGCATGGCAAGATCCCTGCCCTGAATTCAAATTCAAGCCCTGTATCCTATTGAATTGCAGCAGATGAACCTCACCACCTCTTGTATCCTTTTCCCACCAAGAAGTCTTTCTTAATGAAGACAGCCATCACCACTCTGGTCTTGGGTTCCAGGCCCTCTTTAAAATTTAGCCCAAAAACCTAATGTTCGTCTTAAGGGTTTGTAGCCCTGATGAGGCCAAGTTGTGCCATTACAATATGACCTCCATGCAAGTCTAAGTATATTAAATCCCTTTAAACATATTTTGCCACCTGGAAATCAAAGGCCATGAAAGAAGCACTGTGGAAGTCAGGATTTTTCTCCATCATCTGCCCAAAATCATCAAATCTCATGTGCTTTCCTTAGAGGAATTTTTTTTTTTTTTTTTTTTTGAGACAGTTTTGCTTTTGTTACCCAGGCTGGAGTGCAATGGCGCGATCTCGGCTCACCGCAACCTCCGCCTCCCGGGTTCAGGCAATTCTCCTGTCTCAACCTCCTGAGTAGCTGGGATTATAGGCAGGCACCACCATGCGCAGCTAATTTTTTTTATTTTTAGTAGAGACTGGGTTTCACCATATTGACCAGGATGGTCTCGATCTCTCGACCTCATGATCCACCCGCCTCGGCCTCCCAAAGTGCTGGGATTACAGGCGTGAGCCACTGCACCCGGCTTCTTAGAAGAAATTTTCCCATTGTCCCCACTTATTGGCACAAAGACTCATTTTATTGCAGATTCCTTCCCCACTACAGGGATGTGATCTTTCACTATGGCCTAAACAAGACAAAGATACAAGAATACAGGATAACCAGATAATACAGTAAACTTAATGCCCTCATTAAAAATATTGATGTTCACAGAGAAGATTATTTTCTCTGACTCTAAAATATAAAGGAAGGAACAAAATCTCTATATCCAGACCAAGGTACTCTATTATGTACTGCAGAAGGCCTCTTTAGGTAAAACCAACCTAGGCAAAGTTCACTGATAAACCACCCCAAACCCTATTGACTTAAAACGACAACATTATATTTTGTTCTCAGGTCTCCAATTTGTGCAGGGATCAATGGGATGGGTTATTTCGGAGTACACTTATCCTTGAACTGCAAAATACACTTCCAAGATGATTCACTCAAAGTGATGGAAATTTGGTGCTGGCTGTCAGCTGGGAGCTCAACCAGTATGAGGGCACTGGGGCTTCAGTTATTGGTGTGGATCGCTCCAGGAACTCCTTGGGCTTCCTCACAGCATGGTGGTTTCAAGAGTGTCTGAAAAGACAGGAAGTAGGAGCTGCCTGTTTCTTAAGGCCTAGTCTAGAAACTGCCAGATTGAAAGCAGGTGCAGAACCCAGATTAATCAGAAAGGGGGAAATGTCAAACCTTTAGATGGAAGAAGTATCAAATAAAATGGAGCCATGTTTTAAAATCTTCCCATCAATTTGTTAGTATTTTGAGTTTCAAAGGAAGTTGCCTCATAATAGCATTTCTTGATGTGATTAAAAATCCATTTGTACCTATTCTTTGACTTCATAAGCATTTGAGATTTATGAGTACAAGATCTAGGTTCAACTCTATTAATTCCTTATAGGGAAAATGTAATATACAAGAGAGAAAATTTACATTAAATTCACTTAAGAGTTATAAGCCACAGGTAAAGCAATTTTTATTCTTATTATTTTCTTTAAGATTGTCTCTCTTTTGTTAGTATTTGATGTTGTCTTTTCAGTCTGAGTGGAACTGGAAAGGGCTTCAGGGCTCTCTGTTTGTTTGATGGTTTTAGGTCTGCTTCATGTCTATTTTCTAATTATGGCATTCATCTAATACCATGACACAAAATAGCTGCAAATGCCTTATTGATGCATACGTATTTGACTGTACCCTGAAAATATTCTTAAACTTTTTCTGGCAACAAGAATTTAGCCTTCATAAGGTGGAAATATTTTAATTTACAGGCTAATATAAAAGAGCATCTACTCAGATGTGTTGAGTTCTAGCTTTGTCTCAACCACTTATTCCCTTTGTCATTTAACTTTGTGGATTTCCATTTCCTTAAGTATAAAACTGGAATAATAATGTTTTCTCTACTTACTCCACTGAGTAGAAGAATATATTTGTGAGAGCCTTTGAATCTCATAATATGTGGCATACAATAAAACATGATAATAATCATTGTTCTCTTTTTTGTGTTCTAACATATCTACAATAAATATTGTTGACCAATTATTACAGCATATGGTCCTATTAGCTCATAACACATGTATGTATTAATATTTTGTTCCAACCTATGGCTTGTGAGCTTTTCCTTCTAAATATAGTGGTTTTAGAAGCTCAGAAGGAAAATCAAACTAGTTCATTTCTTTGACTAATGCTTTCAAATTGTTCTGCTCTAATATCCAACCAAGCTGGATTCCAGTGGTATGCTCATAGCCTTCTGTTCCCCAATGATCACTGCCTATTTCTCAGTATATGTAGAAACTGAAATACTCTAACACAATCTCCAAAGCTATGGTTTCAGTCAGAACAATCTAGGTTACGCTTTAGTAAAAGACATAGCATCTCAATGGCTTATTACAACAATGCTATTTCTTGCTCAGTCTACATGTCCCACCTGAGTTGGCAAGAATCTGCTCATCACTGGGGCCCAGACTGATGGAAGTTCTGCTCAAAATGTATTTTCTTTGAAGGGAAAAAGATAATCTTGCAAAGCATATACTTTTTTTTCAAGCTTCCACTCACAACTTAATGACCAAAATAAGTCATATGGCCACCCTAATTTTAAAGAGGTGGTAAAATACAATTGAACTCTTGTCTTCAAAGAAAAGGAACTCCAGAATATTCAAGAACTGACATTTGGTAGCAAGGAGGTGCACTGTTCTGATCTCATTTCAAGAGAAACTGCTGGGAGAAGTGTTGCTGATGACAGCCTTCAGTTGCCACATTTTCAAATCTGCCACACTGTCCATGCCAGCTGATGACCAAAGGAGATGCCAGTA